GGGGGGGGGGGGGGGGTGGGGGGGGGTGCGGGGCGGGGGGAGGGTCAGTCTGGGTCTGCCCAAAGGGGGGAGCTGGGGTTGACCCTGGTCACGTGTGCAAGACAGGGAGGAAGGGGGGCAGCCTGCACTTATTTGTTAGACTTACTTTCTGTCCCACAATCCCAGTACTGTTAAGGGGAGGGTCCTAAAGGGGTGGAGCTGGACCCTGCCATCCTTCCTTGTTTTCCTTCCTCTGGGGAGCCTTCTCTGGTTCAGATCTCAAGCTCTGCCCCCGGATGCCAAAGAAGGCCCATGGCTGGGCCCTTGTGGGGCGCTGCAGCATTGCTGCCTCTGATCCCTAGGTATCCTGGGAATCAGGAGGATGGGCGCGACCACTTGGCAAGCCCAGCCCCTCCTGGGAAGGACCCCTTCGCTGAGGGCAGTGCCCTGGTGAAGGGCAGGGCCAGAGGGCATCTGGTGCATGAGAAGCGGCCTTGGTGGGCCAGGAGCTGTCAGGGGGCGCCTGGACACCTCCCTCTTGGCCAGGGACCTCGGCCTGCCCCCGACGGGCAGGGTGGAGAAGCCCAGCCTGACCCAGGAGCGCGACTGGCTCCATAGCCGCGAGCCCTCATTCCTGTGGGCAAGTGGGCCCATGTCTGGCAAGAGAAGCCACGTTCTGGCTTCTGGTCAGGTGTTCGCCAGCAAGGAAGCAAAGGGCCCGAAGGCAGGCAGAGGCCGAATGTTGAAATCCCTCTCATTGGCCCTCAGGGCTACACGCGCGCACACCCCCGTCCCCCTCTATGGATCCCAGAAGCAGCAGAAAGGCCATCCAGCTGGACCTTCAAAGGGGGTTCCCGCCTGGGAATCTGCTTCAAGGGGGAGACTCTTCTGAAGCCTTCATTCCGCAAAGCTTCAGGCCTGGGGATCCAGCATTTCAGCCACCAGAAAATACTTTATTAGTTTCTTTCAAGCAGGATGAGCTTTAATAAGGACAGTGTGCATCGAAGGAGAACCATGGTAGACCCCAAACGTGGCCCCCAGTTACAAAGAGCTGCATTAGCTCCTGGGCACGAGCAGGGCTGGAATCCTGTAGATCCTGCTCTTTGGGGTGGGGGTGTGACCCAGCCGGCAGGCGAGGGGAAGCAGATCAGCCACA